TGCGAATAGGGAGCCAGTCAGGAGCAAGTGAGGGCCCGCGGCCTAGCCCAGGCCTAGGCCTGAGGTAGGCGGTGGGCGCGTCCCTGTCCCCTTAGTGGAGTCACGCCGGCCTGCCTAGGTGGGAATGGGTTTCCTCATGCTTTGGTGCAGTAGTGGCTTCGCTATGTGTCCTTACCGTTGTATTTGCCAGTTAATACGCTGGAATGTTGATGGAGTTTTGTTTTCTTTGTAATTCTGGTGTCGTTCATCCTTGTTCTTAATGCAGTGCTTGAAGTTGTTTTGCTTCAATTACCGGTTTCAAAACCAGCGTAATCACAGAGTTGCAGAGTTCCTGCAAACGGTATAATCCGAGGGGGAAAGTAGATTTAGCGGCATAAACAGGATGTGTCTTTGAAAGAACTTTCATTTATAAAAGCAGGGTTTCGTAACTGAGCTTCAAAATGAAGTAACATTTTTTTAGCAACAGGATTATTTTCCCATTTTACCTTGTTTGTGGTTAATGCTAGCTCTCCACTGCTGTGTGTGCTTATTTCTCATGCAAGTTTAAAGTTGCCTTCGTTTAGAATAATCTTAAGTTATATTTGGCACCATACATGTAAGCTATGAACAATTGTTTGAAAGGAAACATATTGGTTGTTGGGGCATCTTGTGATACCAGAGGCTGTGTATAGTCGTAATTAAAGTATTTATAACTACAACGGTTTGGAGAGTTTATGTGTAATGTGTGCACTGTTTGTGGAAGTAAGCTAGCAGTTTTAATACTTCCGCAGTCTGGAGTCCACTTCTGCAGTCTGCTTCCCCACGAGTGATGTCACAGTTCTGTGGTCAGAACTGCGCAAGTTGGCCTGAACTTGTGTTCTGGGCTGTGACCTTGACTGAACGCTATTTCTGTAAAGCTAATTGGTTCTTCAAAGGATAGCTTAATACCTGTCCAGAACTTGTCCTACTCTATGTATTGTGCTGTTACCTTTTTTGATTTATACTCAGCTGAAGTTCAAATAGATTTGAAGCACCTTTTCGAACATTATTTGGAGGACAGAGTATTCATGAAATGTTATGTCTCAAAATGAAAGTTAGTTGGCAAAGTAACTCAAACGTAAGTACACGAAGGGTTTTGATGTAACTTACGTGTAGGAAAAGCAGTATGTTCTTCTGTTTTCAGTCAAGTTGTGAGAGAACTCTCTGGAAATGGGAGACAAACAGAATTGAACTGCGTATTTGAGAAGGTTCTAGCTTTTATTACAGTACTCTAGTCATAATACCATTTCTATTGCAGTCTATAGAGTGGTTGAGAGTAAGTAGTAAGTGTACCTTGTTTTCTGAAAACCACGTAACTGAATAGTAAAGCATGTTTTTCTCATGCCCTTGCAGGAACACAAGTGTATTAAATTACCTAAGCAACCATGCTGGCTGCAAGGCTAGTATGCCTGAGGGCATTACCATGCCAGACTATCCGACCCAGCATTACTCAGGCTTCCCCAGCTTTGAGGAACTCCAATATAAAAGCATATAGGCTGTGGCAGCCTAACCAGGTAAGGCATTTCTCTTTCTAATGGTTCTGAGTGCTGATATTTTAAAGGGTTGAGTGTTTTGCCAAAATAATTGTTTTACATGGAGGTCCTGTTCTGAATGATCATGAACCTCCTGTTTCTTTGAGATACATGCTCTGATTTACAGAAGAACATTACTCAATAAAAAAACAGGGCTTTAAGGGCAATTGAATTACTATCTTCTATTTCAATTATTACTTGCCCATTGAAGTTGGAAAAGGAGAATTTAAATCAGGTAATTAGCAATGGTTTTGCTATGTAAGGTAGAAGCAGCAGAAAGACTTGTCTGACATGTTATCCTGGCTCCCTGTTCCCAAGTAAGAGTTTTAAACATAATATTAGATAGAAGTATCTTGAATATAATATTAAAGCAGAAACTTCTTTCCAAAGACTTCAGCGTGTTTAAAGCTGTAGTCCAGGTTAGAGCAATTTCTGAATTACGGCAGGACTATCATTGGCCTAACTAGCAATTTTAAAAACTGGACTGTCATCATCCTAAGGCACTGTCTGTTTATTCTTCATTTAGGGAAGATGTTTCATACATGCTTTCTGCTCAGGTGACAACTATTAATATGTTAAATTTTGTTAGATACAAAACACAGCAAAACTGAAATGCTGTGGTAAACTTGAATTTTATTGTTCTTATGGCTTGTAGATTTCAGGTTTTGGTGTTAAAACAAACTCACAGCTTTGAGTGAGCCTTTGGTTGCTCAGGTGCCTGTATAATAATTTAGAAACTCCTGGAAAAAAATGGTAAGGAAACTTCAAAAGTTGTTCCTGAACTTAAATATGAGTTTATTCTTTGTTGCTCTTGCAGATTACTGAGACTTTGAGCAGCATGTTGTGTTTATTTGGAGCTTGTCAGCCTTAAAAATCTTAAGTTTATAAGCCTTCATTCAAGGTTTGTTCTCTAAATCAAGGCTAGAGTTGAAAGCATAGAATTTGTGATGGCTTTCCAGATTCAGTGTCTGTAAGGTGTAAGTATTGTCCAAGAAAAGTGTATACATAAAAAGTGTTCTTACATAGAAAGCAACATAATTTTTTTTACAAAACAAAAAAGTGAAGAGTATGGTTTTATATTAAAAAAACCCCACCTTGTGGGACTAAAGTAAAAGAAATGCTAACTGAAAACTTCAGTTTCTGAAATTCTCTGCATTGGTGCTGTACTACTAGAATGTGTGACTATTACTCACAACAGTTCCTAAACTTTAATGTTCAGTTGTTTTCCTTGAACACAGTTACTTCTTTGCGCGGTAAGCAGGGATAATTAAGAAGCTATGTAACAATTTTAAGTGTAGCAAGTAAATTGGTAAGAAATGTCTTCTATCTTACTTCATTTAGTCTTTTTTATGTTATTTCTGAATCTAACAGTGTTATGCCACCAGAGTAAGAACAGGTGTAAGGCGTGGAAAAATTGGCCAGGAAATTAAAGAAGCAGCATTTGAGCCATCTGCAGAAACTGCGCTTAAAGGTAAGGTAGCTCTGCTTTAAATACTGAGAATCTTAGAAGCTTAACTTAAAATTTCCTTGAAGGAATTGAGTTTCCTTCAAACCATTAAAGAAACTGAGAATGTTATTTCATGTGTAAGTTTGCTTAGGGATCTCCCTCAAACAACTGGAGACAGTTTCTCTGCTTGTCTTTCCTTGTAGAGTTTAAAACTGCAAGTGTGTCACAGTATAGAGAAATTCCATGTCTTTTCTTTAAGCTGCTGTTGAGAACTGTTCAGTCAAAATGGTTGTCTCTTAGTGGAGATTTGATTGCAGATATTCAAAAGTATGCTAACACTTGCTTTGTTACATCTACATTGTATAGTGTTTAAAGGAAGGATTTTTGTACGGCATGTAGAGTTTGCAAAAAAATGTTTCTGGTGTTATGGAGGGCATTGTCTTACAGTGCTTGTTAGTACAGCTAGTGTGGATTGTAATTCCAGTGGATTACAAAGGGATTTTTTAGATAACAGTATTTGGCAGAACAGACTTGCAAATATCCTATAATAGCACTGAATTGACAAAATATATGTAGATTGGCTAGTGTCTTGGCTATAGTGTGTTAGGAAAACACATAGACTTAAAGGGAGTTACACAGCTGAAAGTCTTTGGTCTCAGCAGCTTTTCTATTACAACAATATTTTATGATTGATATTTCTATTAGTAGCAGTAATCTGATACCTGGCATATAGGCAGTATGTCTAAAAATCAGACAGTAGAACCTGATGGTAGATCATGTGGAGTTGTTCATGAGCTTTGGAAATACTTTTTCAAACATACTTGGATCCAATTGCTGCCAAAGAGCCTTGGATGGAGCAGATACTTAAGGGCAGATAAATGAGAGGAAAGAACGCAACATGTAGTTTTTCTCCTGTTCTATAGCGAGTTGGGTAGTGAAATGATATACTAAATCAGCTGACAGGTGAGCTCTTCTGTTGGAGAACCTAACTGTTTTCTATGTTGGACTTGCTGTCACTAATGAAGGTCAGTAAACCTGGCATGTCCCTAGTTGGTCTCTTATTTCTTACTCTGTTTTATGAAGTTACATTGTGTTGGTAGGGTGAATCTATAGTTTTTCACATGTAGCTCATTGACAACTGGCAACTTGAAATTAAGTGGAGCTTTAAGAAAGAAGTCTTAACATGAATCAGCTATTGCTGCCACAACAAAACTTGTGAGGATGTTACTATTCAAGAAAAAACGTTGATAAGACCATGGATTTTTATTTTTTTTTTCTTTATACAGCTGATCGCCTGGGGAAACTTATTGTTGCTGGAGGGGCTGCTGTTGGCCTGGGGGCCCTCGGTTACTATGGAATGGGCATGTCCAGTGAGATTGGAGCTATTGAAAAAGCCGCGTAAGTAAGATGGCTTTTTCTTTTAAGTGAAGAATATATTAAGCGAATCTCCCTCCTCTTTATACGCCTCTTCTTTTGCTGGTATCACCCAGTGTACACATAGCTTATGGTGTTTTTTTTAAGCTCTGAACAGAAAGCCCTCACTTTTTTCTGTACAGGATTTTAAAGCATGTAACTGAAAGCAAAATTTAAATTACCCAGGTTTAAGTGGATATTGACTTAAGTGACTTGTTTTGCTAAATTTGAAGTTTGTGAACAGTAGATAAATATGTCTTATGAGATGTGCCACAGATAATTTATGAAGGGTAGTCTTCCGTAAAACCTGTTAAGACCACTTTGCCAGGTGTTCCTGTGAGACTGTTTGTTAAATTTCAATACAGCATGTTGGAAAGAGGGTCTCCTTGGAACACACTACTCATCTTGGCATAAGCTGTGGTCTAATAAATATATTTTACTTAAAACTTTGATGTGTGAAAAACTTTTCATTAATACATCTATCTGTGTTTGAGGTTTTTTCATAGAATCATAGAATGGTTTGGGTTGGAAAGGACCTTAAAATCATCTAATTCCAACCCTCCTGCCATGAGCAGGGACACCACACACTAAACTATGTCGCCCAAGGCTCTGTCCCACCTGGCCTTGAACACCGCCACGGTTGGAGCATTCACAACTTCCTTGGGCAACCTGTTCCAGTGCCTCACCACTCTCACAGTAAAGAAAGAACTTCTTCCTTATATCTAACCTGAACTTCCCCTGTTTAAGTTTAAAGCCATTACCCCTTGTCCTACCACTACAATCCCTAATGAAGAGTCCCTCCTCAACATCCTTATAGGCCCCCTTCAGTTACTGGAAGGCTGCTATGAGGTCTCCACGCAGCCTTCTCTTCTCCAGGCTGAACAGCCCCAACTTCCTCAGCCTGTCTTCATACCGGAGGTGCTCCAGCCCTCTTACCATCCCTGTGGCCCTCCTCTGGACTTGCTCCAGCAGCTCCATGTCCTTTTTATGTTGAGGACACCAGAACTGGACACAATACTCACAAGAGCAGAGTAGAGGCCTCACAAGAAGAGAGTAGAGGAAGAGTGGGGTTTTTTTTCTCCAAAAGCCTTGATGTAATGGGCCAAAAGAGTGGAATGGGAGAAAATGTGTGCATTATGTTTGTTTGGTGTTAGCGGGGAAAGCTTACTGTCCATAGTATGCCCAAGCCTTACTGCAGAAACTCATTCGTAATGTCTAAGTCTTTTGCTATTGTTAGAGCTCTCAAAATGACGTTCATGCCTGTTAAGTCAGATAATCATGTGGACTGTGACTCAGCAATTTGTGAGCTGCCTAGCAGGCTACTTAGTGCTCAGTACACATTCTGTAGGCATTTTCCTTAAACCAGTTTGTGTTTCCCCTGTATCCTTTCTCCTTAGAATCAAACTGTAATTACCATTATTTGCAATTTGCAGTGTTTCTAGGGAGTTACGTTACATTAGACTAGCAAGATTTAAAACTTCAGCCCCTGTTACAAGATGAATTCATGGCAGAAGTTGTTAGAGCACACTGCTTTTATGGAACCTTACTTATATCAATAGCTATGAATATATTTAACAACTTGATTGTGGTTTTAGTTAGTCTTTAGTCTGATACTGGTAATCTCACAGCTGTGCATGACTTAGAAGTTATATGCTTATTTTTCAGTATTTGGCCACAGTATGTGAAAGACAGAATTCAAACTACTTATATGTACTTTGCGGGAAGCATTGGCTTGACGGCACTGTCTGCTGTAGCAGTAAGCAGATCTCCAGCACTCATGAGCCTTATGACAAAAGGATCCTGGCTGGTAAGCTTATGTTATAAAAATAAAAGCATTTACTGGGAAATTACCCCAAATGTGGTGGTTGATATGAAAATATTAAATGTAAATTACTTGGTGAAAAATAAGTCAAAACTTCACTTACACTGATCTCCATATCCATTAAGATTATGTAAGTATGCTAATGATATTCTGTGGTTTAGGATTTGGTGATTCTAACTACATGCTGATGTGCACCTTGTATGCTACTTTATAGTTTGTCAGAGACAAATTATATAAGAAAAAAAAATCCATGCTGTGCTATCCTTACCAGCTATATGCAAGTAAGAATCTGTTGTAAATAGTCATCTGAGGCTAATGATGCTGTTTCTATCACTCTCTAAAATGGAAACGGATGTTGTGTGCATTCCTACTCCTCCCTGTGCTTTTCTGTATAGCTCTTTGAAAGCCGTCTCCTGTTTGCCAGGACTGAAATGATACTGGTAGGCAAATCATCGAGGCATACTGCTAACAAAATGTGTCTTCTTAGTAGTACGTACTCTGTGTGTTACATGGAGTTGAATGATAATAGCTAAATGCCAACATTTACATAATTTATGGAGATTAATAATGCATCCTGGGTGATAACCAAAATTGTACATTTTTGACCAGTGTGCTAGCTCCTGGACAATTCTGCTTGGAATCATCAGTAAGAGGAGGCAGTGAGGTTTAAAAATCATTGATGGCAAAAGCATGTGAACTGAGTATTAGCTTTGTGTAGAGAAATGTACAAGAAAAAACTAAGGCTAACATTTGAGGTACTTTAATAAGGACCAGAGTAGTGGCAGAACTGTATGTTTTCCTGCTCTTACATTGCACAACTAAGAGATTATTGCCATTATACTGCTAAACAGGTTCCTAGAACACTGAATAAAATGGGAACTTACTGCAAGCTAGGATCTACAAGCATTTGGCTGTAACCTTACAGGAGTAAATTAGACAAACACCCCAATTACGAATTAGGTTGTTCTTTTCAGATTTATGCTACTGACTTTAGAGTAGGAGGTGAGAACAGAGTGTATGTCCTGATGCTAATTTGAGCTCTGTAATGCTTTTTTTACAGGCAATAGGTGCAACTTTTGCAGCTATGATTGGTGCTGGAATGTTGGTCAGGTCCATATCCTATGAAAACAGTCCAGCAGCTAAACATTTGGCTTGGATGATGCATTCAGGTATGTGATATTCATTGTAGAGATGTCTGTTCTTCACTGTGACCAGGTTCCTAATTTAACAGAACTTTGACTTTAAGGTAAATTTTTATATACTGCTGTGGGAGAGTTGGATTTTTACCAGAGACCTGAATGTCAGGAAAATTTCTTGTGTATCCATAATACAGTGTTTTTTCATAATCTTCTAAAAGTCATGCTCAAAACTGAGATATGTATATTCCACATTGGATAGAATTAATTGATCTCATAGCTGCTTTGGGCTTGTGATTGCTTTCTGGCACCATAGCTTCTGTAAGCACTATACTTGCTGTTCTTCAACTCTGCAGGATAAGAAAGCATTTGAAAACTTGACTAGAAAAATGGTATTTTTTTAGTATTAAACTGCAGCTGCTTAAATACATGTTCCTTCCCATCAGGTATGTAAGCTGTGACTATGGATCATTTTCTCACTAGTGATACACCTTCTTCAAATAACAGTGGCTATTATTTTTCAGAACTGTTTTTCCAGAAATAATTCATGGTTCGGGAAAGACATATGTGCATTAGGCACTGGAATCGTATTTACCTCTCCAGAGCTAACATTTTGACCAAGAAGAAATTGTGTTTATTGTGGGGATTGCTAAGTTGAAAACCTAATGTGATGTTAATGGACTACATAAGAGGTTTCATACAAGACTCTAGCAAAAAGTCTGACTTAATTACTCAATTATTGCCCAAGTAATTATTGTAACAGAAATCCATTCTGCTTTTCGTTGTTGAGTGCTCCTATGGCTATTACGTAGCTGATCAGTCTGTGCCAGGTTATCTCTTACCAGCTCTCTTCTGAACCTATCAGTATGTTGACTGTTGTTAGTCTTTCTCCAAAGACCAGCTCCCTGAAGAGTTCTCCAGAGCTAGATAAAAGTAAGGCATAGAATTTAAGGTTGCTAATTTATTGTGATCCCTTCTAGGTGGGTGCATGTTCAGGTGTGTTTATATTTTGTCATGTAAGTGGATTAGTTTGAGCCATGTTACCTGACTAGAAAAAAAAAATACGTTTTGGTAGGTGGTGTTTTTACCAGATCTGTTCCAAATCTAATGGGTGTTGGTTTCTTTTCCTTTGCTAGGTGTCATGGGTGCAGTGGTGGCTCCCCTAGCCTTCTTGGGTGGCCCTTTGCTGATCAGAGCTGCCTGGTATACTGCTGGAATTGTTGGAGGGCTCTCAACTGTTGCCATGTGTGCTCCGAGTGAAAAATTTCTAAACATGGGAGGACCCCTGGGAATAGGCTTAGGCTTTGTTCTTGCCTCTTCAATTGGTAAAATACTGTTTAATACTATCAGATAAAGTAGGTTATAAAATAAAACTGCTATGATGCAGCTCATGTTTAATTGCAGATTGGTCTGTCTAGTTAAGATATGCTGTAAATAGCCCTTGCAAGCCTAGCACAGCAGAAAACACTCTGTTAAATGTGTTCTTGAAAGCAAATGTCAAGTTACGGTTCTGGCACGTTAATCTTAAAAATGGCCAATAGTGGTGGCTTGTATTTTTAGTTACTGCTACTGGGTAGGTAAGACAGTAAATATGATCTTAGTTCTTGGTCCTTTTGTTCTTCGCCCTTTTGTTTTTCTAGATATAGTTGTAGTCCTAGGGACAGAAGTACTTTCATGTGAAGTACATGTGATTCCCTAGGGTGTTCAAAATTACTGGATCAGGTTGTATATGTGACATCTTCAGCTTGTGTATTAAAGCTCTTGGTATCAAAAAAGCACCACAAATTGAGAATTGAATACTCGTTGAAAAACGTGTGCTATAGTAACCACCGTTTGACCCAGCTCAGACTAGCAGATACAGATAATTACTGTCTTTAATACTATTGTACATTCCTCACCAGGATCCATGTTCTTGCCTCCCACTTCTGCTTTTGGTGCCGGCTTGTATTCGGTAGCTGTTTATGGTGGATTAGTACTCTTTGGCATGTTCCTGCTCTACGATACGCAGCATGTTATTAAGCATGCAGAAACTATTCCATATTATGGAGTAACAAAATATGATCCAATCAATGCGTAAGTATTTTGTGTTAATGCAGCTGATCTCAATGACTCTGTAAGAATTGGCTTCAGGCCATATCAGAGTATGCTTTTAAAAATAGCCAGACCATTCACTTACTGTTCAAAAATGAATTGCTATTAAATGTGAAGTATCACAGCATTTAAAGATGTGGTGTGAAAATAGCTAGTGGAGTTAAAGCTGAAAGCATCTGCCTGAAATGAGAAAAACGGGGTTGAATGTGGTGTGACATGCCTCCAGCAACACTTCCAAAAAGCAGTTTTGTTTTCTAAAGCATTGTTGGGAGAATTTATAGCTGTTTTCTGAAAATATCTGTCAGTATTGGCTGAGACAAAAAATGCTAACTCTTTCTTAGTCATTTAATATTCACTAGCCTTTGTCACTAAATAAAAGAGCTTCAGCAGTGTGACAGATAGGGAAAGAAGGATTAATTGACTCTCAGTACGCATAACTTCCTTGTAAGTGTTGTCTGTCTGATCTTAATTGAATTGTTAATCTCCTTGATTCTGGTTTCCTATAATTAAAATAGAATAATACTGACCTCCTTCAAAATTCTTGGAGCTAAACAGATCAAAGTACAGCATAAAAGCAGACAGCTCCTGTATGAGAACAGCGTGCTATTTCTTACGGTACAGATGGTAGAACAAAAATACAGAGGTTTTTTGACATACCAAGCATTGAGGACAGTCATAGTTGGGTTTTGTTAGAGATGCTTCATGAAGGCTTTTAAAAATGAAGTGTAATGGTACGAAACACCAAATAATACTATTTCTGTTCAACAGTAATTAATTTTGATTTCCTGTTTTCTAGGTGCATGGGTATCTACACAGATACACTGAACATCTTCATTCGGGTTGCCACCATGCTTGCAGGCAGTGGAGGTAGCAGGAGGAAGTAAACAGAGACTGTGTGTCTGACAGCCTACCTTAGTGCGCTTACTAAATAAAAATTCATGGTTACAAGCAGTTTTGCTGCAAGTCAGGAATATAAAGCATTTCAGCATATTGTTTCAGTGCAATGTGATTCAGGCTTACTAGTTTTTCTTCAAACACTTTCCAGCTCAGTTTTAAAATAGTGTGAACTGCTTCTAATTGTACATTATTTTGGGAAAGTAAATTATTTTTAATATATGAGTAAAATAGTCTGCTTTTCAATGGGTTTGACAGCAGTTCAACTCTTTTTTTGTTGTTGTTTTATTTTTTTTCTTTCTTTTCTTTTTTTCCTGTTATTGCATAGTAAAGGCCATAATTTCTAAACGGGTATCCCATACGAGAGTAGGGACACAAGCAACTTCATGAAATGCTGTTGAGATGCAGTATTTTTCAGTTAAGATTGCGTTAATGATACTTTAGTGACAACTTAAGAACAAATTATGGCACTAAATGCAGTAATGACTTCTGCCTGGGCAGATGTTTCAGCAAGGTTTAAGCAGTTGTCAGAAATACATTGGATTTGACCAGTGAGTTGACCAAAAAGTGTAAATGAGACAAGATGAGGAAACTATGCAGCATTTGTTCCATGTGAACTTCAGTCTTTCTGGAGTACAAATGAGAGCTCAGTGCTTTAATGTTGACTGGATATAATAGCTATGTTCTTTTGATACTAGATTTATCAGATTACTGAATAGCAGTAGATGTGTGTCTGTCTTCCAGTGACTGTCTCAGTATTGCAGATGAAGCTCTGTCCTTCAGAAAAGCTCTTAGTGCTTATCTCTCACAAGCTTGTACAATTGGCACAGAAAGAGGGAATTGAGGATAGGCTGCTGTAAACCCAAGTATCTTAAATAGACCATACTGTTGTATGCTTCAGTCTGTAACTTTACCGGTATGTTTATTGGTCTAAAAGAAATACTTCCTACCAGTGAAATTGATTTAACATTAAGAAATATATACTTACCAAACTCTGTTGTTTTATGTTGGAATAAAAGGGGAGTTCTTGGGCACAAGAAAGTTTAGAGGTAACATCAACAACTTAGACTTTCTGTTTCTGGTAAATATGCTGTACTTATGTATTGAGTATGAAAAATAAAATTCGAGTCTCACAAGTTGACTACTCTCACTGTCCCTCTGTTAATAGAAGTATTTTAGTGCCCCTGCACTAATAACTTGAAGAGTATTATAAATGTTTTTTTGGCTACAGTTTTGTTTTTAAGAGAATACCTAATTCCTCTGTTCAAAAAACCCACAAAAATTTTATCCAGTTTCACTGGCTAGAATCTTTTTGAATCTACACTTGCTTCAAGTGGTTCTGTAGTACAACCTGTTAGCTACTGACTACAGCAGCCCTGCTTTTATGTCTGTCGTATACTGTAGTATTTTTAGACTTGTCAATCACAGGAAAGCAACTGGATTGTGAAGAACCTTCTTGGAACTCCTTTGTGCCCAAAGATTATACAACACATCCTAGTTCCTGGCACTATTAACATCTGAAGAGAAATCTGTAGAACTTGAAGAGGAAGAAATCTCTGATCATGCTGAGTGTAAGTAGCCTATTTAGAGGGATTTATCTTTTTAAGCAATTTCATATGCTCAGTCAATTTCTACATACTGTTGCTGTAGATGAACAGAGCAGTGTGCTTGTCCTCAAATCCTGAAATTGACAGTATGCTATCTTACAATGAAATTCTAAGATTCGTAATGAACTGGCAAAACACCTTTTGGCTGGACTATGTGGACAAAGTTTTAGAGGTTGACTGAACCGAGAGAGGGATCATGGACTGTTTGAAGCAGTAAGGTGGAAAACACAACACCCTACTGAGGGAAAATTTTTGCACTGAAAGTGAGATCAACAGGAAGATTCAATAACCTTTTAAGAAAAAACAGGCCAAATAGTGCTTGAGGAAGCATGAACACTCTTCTGTGCTCAGTCTTCTGAGAAGATTCTGCTTGATTTGTGGGTGAGATGATAGCTGCAGGAAAACACTTGGTTCCATCCAGTGTGGGTGTCCAAAAGGAAAATGTAAGAGTTGTTCCTTTACATTTGAAGTCCAAAGTGAAGAATTAAGATTTATCTCAATTAAGACAGCTCTGCTTTGGGAGCAGATGAAAATCTAAATTGTGGTGATTCGATAGGCACAAAACAAGGTGCCCACTTTTTCAGGGAGAGCATCTGTCTGGCAGTTGGTGCTGGCTTAGTGTCAGGCTGCTGCTTTTGGAATGGAAATGGAAAACCTGGAAACTTTTTAGAACCAGAAAGTTCTTTTTATTCATCAGTTGAATTTACCAGTGTGATGTTACTGTAAGCAATTTATTTTGGATTGGGTTTGTTTTTTTTTTTTTTTACCCTCAAGTGAGAGGTCTAATTGTAAAACTTGTATTAGGGTCCATCAAGTGTACCTTGCTCAGCAGCTTTGAGAGCAAATACAGCTGAGGAAGAACATTTTTGTCTCCTCATAAACACTGAATACTTTCAGAAGGAGATTAGATGCGTTATATCCAAAGTTTCAGAAGCTGATCAACACTGTGGTTAGACCATCTAATTAATGCCCTATTTCATGGGCATTAACTAACAAGAGAAAATGACTGTTACCGGGAGGGTATAAACTCAGAAATGCAAAACTAGCTGAGGAGTAACGCATTTTTATTTTTTGAATAATGAAAGTTACCAGAAGAAGGAAGAGGCTTTAACAAATAAGGTTGAAGAACATAAAAAATTATAAAGCAGATGGGTGTCAGGGTTGTGGTTGGACATAGGAGGTTCAGTGGAAACACTGATTACCATGTAGCCTGCTAACCTATGACTTCAGGGGTCTCTCACCTGGAAGTTTGAGGCATTTGTACAATGGTTGTCTTTAAGGCTCTGATTTTATGAAAGGAGCAGCAACTGTTGTATTCTGTCTTTCAGCTGAAAAAAAGGCTGTTTGCCAAGGTGAGTTGGGGGCTGGGAGGGAAATTGAGTGCAGAAGTACATATTTCTGAATCATCCCGGGAATAAGGGATGTATCCTTAGACTCACGTTACTGATACGTCATGTTCAAAAGTGACAAAGGACATGTCTGGTAATCTTGGTGGGAAAAAACCCTAGTTTGAGTACTTACCATTAAATCAAGGCATGCTCCAGAGCATCTCATTGCACTGGCCAAAAAGAAAATAGATAAAAGTTGCATCTTCATAGAGTCATTACTCTTGGAGGTGGTATCCCAATATATGATTCATTAATATTTTATTAAAAGCTCGTGCCATTCTAAGAAGAATCTGTATTTTGTGTGCGAGAATTTCTTCTAACCAGGTTGAAGCAGCTGTTTCACAACATAAATATAAGGAAAATACATCTTTATGGCATAAAAGGAAAACAAAAACATAAGGAAAATAAAACAGTTGGAGTAAATGTTATTGTTAAATTTAGAGATAAGTAAAACTGACTTTTGAGCCATGAGAATGCAGGGACCATTAAGAACTTTGAAGACACAAAGTTAATTCAATCCACACTAAGGGTGAACCTATCTAGTTCTCTGGGACTATGCGCTGGCCTCCTTTTTCAAAAGGAAAATGCGTGTAGCATAGAAACTGAAGGCTGTAGTTGTATTCACTCCTGGAGGCAGTAATGAGCATCTGGGATATACTAACTATCAAAGACGAGAATAAAAAGCAAGACCAAAGTTCTCATTTCTCCTAGCAGTTTATGGCGAGTTGATAATAGCTTAGGAGACTGTCCTCGAGCAGGGTTTAAAACATCTTTGGCAGCTTTTTCAGCAAGTGCCCTGCAAGCGAAGCCTTTGCAGAGCTGCTGGCCAGCATGCCTGTGAGTCTTGTGTATGGTGCTCATAGTCTCTAAGCTCTGTGAATTGACTCTTTTGTCTCTTCACAGGTCATTTTTCTGGATAGCCTTGCTCTATTAAGGTGGAGCTTGTAGTTGTATTTATTTTGCTTGGTTTTAACCTTCCTCCCGCAGGCAACGTGGTAAAGATGGGATAATAGATGCGTCCCATTTCCCCCTGCTTTCTTAGATGATTTCCGTTTTCTCTAGCCTTGGAAGACTAGAGATACGATGAGGGCCATTTTACCTGGTAGCTGGAGGCTTCTAAAGAGAGAGCACACCAAAATGAGGTAAGGCGTCAGTCCAGAAGTGTTTACACTGGATGCAGTGCTAAGTGCTATGTGTGAGGGGAATCATTTTCTTCTTGTGGTAGTCCAGTCCTCTAGTTCAGGCAAGATGTGATTTAGGAAACTGTTTTTGACAGCTAATCTGCCAGGGCTCACACCTTCATGACAGGGCGATGAGAGGAACTGTGTAACCTTGTTATGGAAGCAGAGCTATTCCCTCTATGTGTCATTTCTTCCCCCCAGAGTAGATTAAAACATAGATGCCTAAACAGGGAGGATTATCCTTCTTCCTGTTTACCCTAGCTCTAAAAGATTTGTCCTTCTTTCACTCTCAGCTGCAGCTTGAGAAGCACTTTTTCTTTGCTTTTTCTTCTTTCAGAAAGATGACAGAAGAATACAAGACATTGTTGGGTCTGTTGTACAAACTAACTAGTCTGGTTGTCCAGTGCTTAGTTCCAGAAAACTTAGTATGAGGAAATGAAGTTGTGCAATGCTAGATGTCTGGGAAGGCATCTTACCTCTTTTTCCTAAATAGATAAGGCATTTAATTAAGCTGGCAAGCCTTCTAAGCAGAAAATACTGTGCAGCTGTCAGCCTTTAGGGCTTTCTGGAAAGAGTTTGTGATTGATCTGCATATTGATCTCTTTCTTAAAAACATCAATAAATCCTGTCTCTGCTGATCTGACAGGAGGTGGTTGCAGGGATAGCAGAGGGAGTTTGTCCTTCTGAGCAGAATGCCTTATTTGGCCACTGTGGCCTCTTCCTTATTCTTCTGTACATCGTAGGTGCACTGATCATTGCACACAACCAACGTAAGTTCATAATATGAAGTCCAGAACTTGAACTAATGCATCTGCATTTCTATAATGGTATGTTTCAACTTTTTCCTGCCAGCTCCTACAGAGACACATTTGTCTGAAGAGAATGTTCCATCATTTGATTTAGTGTCAGCTACTTGTTTAAGCTTGCATGAGCTGAAGTCCCATGATCCAGTTCACTGGGCACCATTTCAATGCAATGAACACACTCTGTTTCTCAAAGCATTTGTGGTCACCTCAGTTGTATTTATGTGACTAGGAAGGAGTGGAAGA